GCACCGCCGCCTGAACAATGGCCTCGGCACCCTGCTGTAGGTGACCCTGCGTCGGCAGGAGGGTTGGACTGAGTGACCCACAGAGGGCCCTGCCATTCTGTGATTCTGTGAACAGGCTGCACTCCTCGGCCACCCAGGAACCACCACGGCTCCAAAGAGCTCCTTCGGCAGCACCAGAAGCATCTGGCAGCTAACGAGGATGAAGCACAAAGGCGAGTCGAGTACTGCACTCGCATCGCACTGACCACTTACTGCGAGCCAGGCTGCGCGACGCAGCGTGCCGCTGCCTACGAAGTCTCTCACGGCATGCGATGGAAGGGCGCAGAAGAACCTGCAGCACCTTCAAGAACGTCAGAAACACAGGTTCAGCCTTCAACATGATGCTTAAAGCTCAGGTAGGGATGATGTGTCATTTCTAAGCGAGGCACAAACCAACCTGTTTGCTGCTCTGACTATCCTAGGTCTGCAGTGAAAACTATCAGTCGGTGGTTACGACAGCTGGGGCAAGAAGCGAGCCCAGAGAACGGCGCCCAGCCTCCACCGGCAGCGCTGCCCTTGCCAGCCAAGGGCAACTCCTCAGTCCTCCTGCTTGACCGGAGGATTCACGGCCTCAGTGCCCACAAGCGATGGAGGAGGTTACCGCTTCTGTTTCCAGAAAGTGCAAGGGGTACCACATCACTACTTGCTTTAAACAAGCGTAGGTGTCGCAACCCTGCCAGTTGCAAACTGCCTGCAATAAGAAGATCATTTCAGCCTGGTGACTTCGGCAGAAAGCAGCGCAGACTTCCCTTTAACCCCTCCTGGGCATCTACACAGAATCACAGAAGGTTCAGGGTTGCCAGGGCCCTCTGTGGGTCACCCAGCCCAACCCCCTGCCCAAGCAGGGTCACCCAGGGCAGGATGCACAGCACAGCATCCAGGCGGGGCTGGAATATCTCCAGAGAAGGAGACTCCACAGCCTCCCTGGGCAGCCTGGGCCAGGGCTCCGTCACCCTCAGAGGGAAGAAGTTCTTCCTCGGGTTCAGCTGGAACTTCCTCTGCTTCAGTTTGTGCCCGTTGCCCCTTGTCCTGTCGCTGGGCACCACTGGAAAGAGTCTGGCCCCGTCCTCCTGACACCCACCCTGCAGATATTT